AACCTCTCAAAAAAAAAAAAAAAAAAGGTCTCTATTCTCCTTGGCTCTTTGTTCTTCCATATGAATTTTAGGATCAGACTTTTGAATTTTCCAGAAATTCCTGAGGGGATTTTGATCAGAACATTTTGAAGGATTAATTTATTGAAATCATAGATTCATTTGGAGAGCATTAATATTGATGTTTTTTCCATTTAGAAATATGGAAATATGGTCTGTGATACCCCCTCCCCCCAGTAGTGCAGTGTTTAAGTGCTATGCAGAGGAAGGCAGATTCTGCATGGCTGGCTGGATTCAAATCTCAGCCCTGGTGACTTGAAAAACATGCAGGATGCCCAGTATCTTGATGGGGTGGAGATTTGGAGAAAAGAGGATTTTGGGTATGACCAGGCCTCATAAGAGGGTGCTTTCTCTCCTGTTTTCTATGTACCCTCTGCATCAAAAAGAAAGGAAAAAGAAATATGGCCTCTTTTTCTTTTTAAAAACTGCACTAAAAGTTTATTTACAGTCTGTTGCTTGGTTTAGTAGTTAGGGAGCCCAGTCCCCTGCTCCCCCGGCCTTGGCCAAGTATGTGCTTTGAATCTTTGTCTTAGTGGCTTGAAAACACACTAGGCATGTGTCTGTGTGTGTCCAAAATCCCAACAGGATAGAGAAATGGGAAGGCAGATTCTGCATGGCTGGCTGGATTCAAATCTCAGCCCTGGTGACTTGAAAAACATGCAGGATGCCCAGTATCTTGATGGGGTGGAGATTTGGAGAAAAGAGGATTTTGGGTATGACCAGGCCTCATAAGAGGGTGCTTTCTCTCCTGTTTTCTATGTACCCTCTGCATCAAAAAGAAAGGAAAAAGAAATATGGCCTCTTTTTCTTTTTAAAAACTGCACTAAAAGTTTATTTACAGTCTGTTGCTTGGTTTAGTAGTTAGGGAGCCCAGTCCCCTGCTCCCCCGGCCTTGGCCAAGTATGTGCTTTGAATCTTTGTCTTAGTGGCTTGAAAACACACTAGGCATGTGTCTGTGTGTGTCCAAAATCCCAACAGGATAGAGAAATGGAGAAGAGATTGTGGCATGACCACACCCCACCAGAAGTACTTTCTCTCTCTTCCTTTCTCCCTCTCTGTCTCTGGTGAGTACGTGTGTCCTGGCCTATAAACAAAGTAAATTTATTTAGAGCACATATAAATGTATTTTATCTATTCCTAGTAAAACTTGATAGTTTTCGTTGATGTACAAATGTTTTTTCCCCCCCTAGGCTTTTTCCATAGAATGTGTGTTCTTGTTGGACAGAGATAGAGACAGTGAGAGGGAAAGTGAGAAATCACTTCCCATGGGGGCTAGCCATGCTGCTGTCCCTTCTCCTTCATTCTCAGAATTTTAGGCATGCACTCAACATGTGTGCAGCATGAATTTCAAGCCACCAGGTCAGGGACTCAGACTGCAATCAGCCATGTGGGAGTCCAGCAATGTAACCATTGTACCAATTCTTGTCCCACTCCTGTTTTTCTTTAATTGCCAGAGGATTCATGTGCCCACCAGAGAAAGAGAGAAGGAGGAGAAAGCACTTCCCAGTGGGGTGTAGTCACATACTAATTCTTTTTCCTCCATTTCATCAGTATTTGCGGGCACGCATACACCTGTGCCCAGTGTATTTTTCAAGCTGCTAGGTCTGACATATAGTATCTTATTCTAACCTTAACTATTAGGGTATGGGCTGGCTCATTGTCCCTGTTTTTAAAAGTTTTTAAAATTACATTCATGATAGAGAATTCACTTGCACCTACTAAGAAGAAAGTGAGAGAGAAAACCACTCTGACAGGGTCTTATCATGCTTGATCCCCTTCCCCAGCTCTTTAGTATCTTGGGCATGTGTGTACTTGACTGGTGTGTTTTCAGGCCATCCTGATAATCAACCTGTGGTCAGACATGTAGTTTCCAGTACTTTAATTCCTTTTGCTACTGACTGTGCCGCCAAGCTGGGCTGTCTGTTGCTTTTTTTCTTTTTTTTAGAGTAATTTTATTTATCATTATTTTTTAATTTGACCAGAGTCAGACAGAGAAAGAGGGAAAATTAGAAATCAAGCTGTGAAGTACAGGACTTGAACTGCAGTCTGCCAGGTGGGAGTCCAGCGCCTCAACCACCATGCCACCTGCCCGCCCCTGTCTGTTGCTTTTTAATTTGTTACTCTATGTCATACTTGACTTGTTGCATTAAATGGGATTTCTATTCAGTGATAAATCTTATTTGACTGGAAATATACTTAAAATTTTATCATTTTGCTATTAAGTATAGTTATTATATTAACATGGATATTCTTTATTACAATTTTAAATAAGTTAAAAAAATATGACAAAGTCACTCAGAATTTAAGATTTCTCCATTTAATAGTTCTACTCAAATCAGAATCATTTATGGAATTAAATATACAGAGACAAGCAGTTGGTGTAATGGCTGTCGTTGGGCTCCCATGTAGTTGACCGTGGTTTGAGTCCCGGACCTGGTGGCTTAAACTCACATCGGGCACATGTGCATGCGTGCCCAAGATCCCAAGAGGAGAATGGAGGAGAAGGGATTGCCACGTGACCATCCCCCTAGGGAGTGAATTCTCGCTTTCTGTCTCTCTGTCTTTCTGGTGAGCACATGTGCCCTATAGCAAAAACCTCTCCACTAAATAAATAAATAAACAAACAAACATGCATTTGGCATAATTTTCAGGTATTATGGTGTCTAGAGTTTAGGCATTTGTAGTTTTAAAAAGCATTTTTGGTGTGGACCAGCAGATGGTGTAATGGTACGTTGCTGGACTGCTTGACTGTGATTTGAATCCTGCAGCTTAAACTCATGCCAGGCAAGTGTGCATGCATGCCAAAATCCCAAGAGGAGAAAGGAGAGGGGATTGCTGTGTGGACATACCCCCAGGGGGTGACTTCTCTCTCTCTCTCTCTCTGTCTATCTCTCTGGCAAGTGTATGTACCCTATAGCAAAAAATCTCTCTCAAAAAGAATATAATTACATATTTTAAAATATTTAGTATGATATAGAACATGTGTAGGCTTGAGAGAGAGAGACAAAGGCATTCTTGACAGGGACTCATCATTCTGTGATTTCCTCTCCTCACCCTCTAGTTCCTCAAGATCCTGGGCCTATATGCATATACCTGGCACGTTTTCAGGCTGACTTGGGAATCCAAACCTGTGGCCAGCTCTATGGCTTCCAGTTAGGGCATTTGACTACTGCACCACAGCGGCTTGGGTCTGTTAAATTGTTTTTAAAGGGCACGTTCAGAGTGTCTTTTCCTTGTGGAGGGGGTAAAATTGAAACATAATGAAAGTTCACATATTTTCTTAAACCTACTCCACTTGGAGGCTACATTAAACCATATCCTAGTTATAAGAAAGTCTACAGATTCTTCACTGTACCCCACAGTGTTTAAAAACTTCATTTTAGGTAGAGGAAAAGAATTTAAGGTAATTTTGAAATATTCTATATTTGCTCTATGCTTTCATAGCTGTATAAGTTAATTTTAATGGACATGAATAAAAAACTAATAAGCAGTCTTATTTGAAAACTAGCATCATGATTATTTCATAGTTTAGAACTATTCAAAGTTTTGACTTTTAAAACAAATTCAAACTAGTCTTTATTAACAATTCAAGTTAATATGCCTTTAATGTGGTTTATTACTTGGGGTATTAACTTTTCTCTCCTGTGCTTAAGTAATAGGAGTGAAACATCCACATCTGATAACACAGAAACTTACCCAGAGAATACAAGGTAAATATTTGAAAAATTGTGCTACTCTAGTAAATATTACTTATTACTTTATCAAATAATAATAGATTTTTAAATGTAAAGAATTATTTTATCTTCTTTATTATTATTTTTTAATTTGACCAGAGAGAGACAGAGAGAGGGAAAGTGAGAAAGCAGGCCGCAAGATCTGGAATGTGAACTGCAGTAGGCCATGTGGGAGGCCAGCACCTTAACCACCATGCCACCTGCCAGCCCCAGTTGTTGCTTTTAAGAATCAGAATTTAGCTATTTTCTTTCACTGTGGTCAGGTTTCTTCCATATCAAGCAGCTAGAATTGTCAGTGTTGAATTGTCCCTTGCTAAAATTCAGACACGAGTCTCAGGATATTTGAACTATATCTCCTTAAATGGTGCTTTTGTTTTTTACTTTTCCTATTAATTTTGCTTGTTAGATTCCTAGGGCCTGGGATAGATTAAAGATAGGCTTAGAAATCTTTAAAGTTTTGAATCCCTAGCTATGGGGTTTCCAAATTATGCTCCTCAGTATGTGTAAAACTTTTAAGGGACACATGATGACAGCTGTTCACAATCACAAAAACAAGGGTAATTAGGTTTGGACTTTATTAAATAAATGGAACATCTAGGTTTTTGTTTTTGTTTTGGCCTAGAGGCACCATGAAAATAACTGAGACACTAAGAGTACTGTAAACTGAGATTGTTTTGGAATGTCTGTTCTAGATCATTTGTTGAAAATATTTTCAAAATGAGAGAATATGAATAATCTAGTAATTATAACCTTTTAAAAAAGAAACTTGTAACAACTGATTAAAAAAATAGAGTATCATTTTTATGTTACAATTGTTGGATTAAGTATGCTTCATTTAAAATTGTTTTATAGTTCTTCTGGGCATCCCACCTTTAAGTGTCCCTTGTGTCAAGAATCAAATTTTACCAGACAGCGTTTACTGGATCACTGTAATAGTAATCACCTGTTTCAGATAGTTCCTGTGGTAAGTACATATGTTTAAGGCAGTCTTCTGCTTAGATCAGAAAATGCCGTACCATTTATTTCACTTCATGTCCACAGAAAGGGAAGATAGTTGATATAAATTTGGATGGGGGAACAGGCAGTGGCTCAGCAGTAACACAACTATACCCACATGGGAAAAGTTCTGGGTTCAAGTCCTGGGACTTTCCTGACCACAGAGGATCTGTGTATTTGCCTATGGTATGGACTAGGTGAGACTGGTGGTGGATCACAGTGTGAAGACACTATTGGTGATGGCTGTCTCTCTTGCTCTCTTTCAGAAAGAAAGTTTAAAGCAAAAAATCTAAATTGGATAGGGCGATATCAGTAAGATAGTTTTTTTTGTAAACAAATGATTAATGACCTCGAGGCAAAATGAGATGCTTAAATTTCCAGTAACTCATATAAAAAGGAAGGTGTGGGACCAGCAGATAGTATAATGGTTGCATTGCTAGACTCCCACACAGTCAACTGTACATAGTTTGAGTCCCAGACCTTGTGGCTTAAAAGTCATGCCAGGCAAGTATGTTTGCATGTCCAAGATCCCAAGAGGAGAATGGAGCAAAAGGGATTACAGCATGGCCATTCCCCCGGGAAAATGTAGTTTTTCACTTTCTATCTCTGTCTCTCTGGTGAGTGCATGCACTCTATAGTAAAAATCTGTCTTTAAGTAAAAAGGGAGGTGTTACTGTATAGTAATGTAGGGTAACAATCTGTATAGAGTGAAAGATGAACCAGGAGCTCATTACTGAGGAGCACCTAACTGTGTTGGAATCTCAGTTCTTTGATTTGTGTGATGCAGACAACTGGATCTGTTAAGGAGGATCTATTGCAAATAAAAGTACCAATAAGTTACAATGAAGTCAATAGGTGTTTTTAATTGTAGATAGTATGTGAATACATTAAGGGTAGAAGAAATAGGAAGACAGTGAGGCAGAGAGGGAGGGAGGAAAATAGCCATGTTTGATGCTTATGTATCTTTATGCCATTTTGAGGGTGTATATAAGAAAGTGGTAAGAACTTTTTCATGAACAAGGGAACAAGAACAGAGTGCAAGAGTTCCAACATTGTGCTAATGGTCCAAGAAGTCCTTATTTTGAACATGAGCTACACAGATAAGCTATCGATATTTCAATTGGAGAACAGGAGAGACTGAGCTGATGGAGATGCTTCTCTTTTGCGAATGTTTTGATTTTGACTTCAGAAATAGGAATAGAAAGGAAATGTTACAGTAACAATTATAGAGGGCCAGTCCTGTAGCACAGTGGTTAAGTGCTGTGTGTTAGGAACTGAATCCCACATGGCTGACCATGGCTATTCTCAGCCCTGGCATGTTGGAGAATATCCTGGATACATGTGTGTGCATGCCCAGAATCCTGATGAGATGGAGATAGGGCAAAAGAATAATTATGATGTGACCACATCTCATTTGTTTCAGCATAATATTCAACATGAGGGAGTTTTGAAAAGTCCATAAAGAAATAGAATTAAAGAACAAATTTATTCTGATACAAAAACATTTTTAGAATCTAGTTTCTTCATAATAAACACTTTCCATGAACTTTCAGTTTCTGCTATTGGGTGTGTATGTTTACCAGGGAGAGAGAAAGTGAGATATCACTCCCCACCCCACCCAGGGAGGGATTGGCCACACTGCAATCTCTTCTCTGGTTTTCTTTTGGGATTTTGAGCATTGCTGTGATTTTTTGCTCCTGGTGTGATTTTTCAAGCAGACAGGTCTGGGACTCAAAGCACATAGCTAGCCATGCGGGATCTAGCCTTCTTAACCTCCACACCACCTGCTGGCCCTCATGAACTTTTTGAAGACCCAGTGTTTATGTGACTTAGAATCTATTTACCAAAGTTCTTTTATCGTTTCATTTCAGTAGTCATTCATTTACTTCATTTTTTCAAAAAAGGAATGATTTTATTTATTATTATTTATTTTTTTATTTGACCAGAGAGATAGTGGGAGGGAAAGTGAGAAAGCAAGCCGTCACGTCCAGGACTTGAATTGCAGCTGGCCATGTGGGAGTCCAGTACTTTAATTACCATGCCACTTTTCAGCCCCTCTCATCCATTTACTTTTTAGGATGTACTTAGTTTAAAACTTATCCCCCTTAGGGTCTGATTCCTCACTTTCTTATTCTGTCTCTGGCGAGCGCACACACCCTATAGCAAAAATCTCTCATAGGAAAAAAACTTAAGGATATGTATACAGTTTAAAATGTTACAGTGGCTTAATTTTCTTTCTTTCTTTTTTTTTAAACAAGAGGTTTTTGCCTTAGGGTACGTGTGCTTGCTGGAGAGAAACAGAGACCTTGAGAGGGAAAGTGAGAAATCATTCCCTCCACCCCTGCCAAGCCCCAGGGGAATGGTCACCCTGTAATCCCTTCTCTGTTCTTCTCTTGGGATCTTGGGTGTGAGTTTTGAGCCAGTGGGTCTGGAACATGAACCACAGTTGGCCTTGTGAGAGTCCAGTGACATAACTTCTATGCCATCTGCCAGCCCCCCACTTCATTTTCATTTTACTAATAAAAGAAATGAAGCTAATAATTATATCACAGTTATTATGTAGGTAAAATGAGATTATATACTGGGTACATTACCAGTCAATTAATGATAAAGCTATCTCTGCAGCTGGTATTATTAAAAATTGGATGTGGTGTTTCCATTGAAATAGTTGTGTAACTAGACGTTTAAGTAATAAAATGTCTAACATCTTTCATGTTTTGTTAGTGTCATTTATCTCTTAGGTAACTTGGTTCCGTAACTAGCTCCATGACCTAGTTATGGAACTTGACCTTTAGAAATGCTTTTTATATAGATGGTTTCAGTACCTTTAGAAATGCTTTTTATATAGATGGTTTCAGTAACCTAAGCCTATGTCATTTTAACATTTTCAATAATTTGATTATTTTAATGATTTTTATTTAAAACTATCTGTTTCTTATAGACATGTCCTATTTGTGTGTCTCTTCCTTGGGGAGATCCTAGCCAGATTACTAGAAATTTTGTTAGTCATCTAAATCAAAGACATCAGTTTGATTATGGAGAATTTGTGGTAAGTGAATTCTTCAAGATTAAGAAAGTACTATTTAAATATTCAAGTTAAATTTTCTATCTAGACTTGAGTTTTGAGGCAAATTGTATCATGGATGGCTATAGAGCAAGTTCTTTTGTTTTTAATACTAACATTGGGGAACTTCTGTTTGTAGAAGTGGTAAAAGTTTACTTTTTACTTTTTATACTAGAGAATTAATAAGAGTAAGAGCAAACCCCCAGGTAAACAAAATGATGACATATATGAAAACTATCTAGATTTAAGGAAAAAGTGTACTTACTGGAGAAGTAAAATTGGTATAGCATATGAAGGAGGATGTATTTTCTCATGTACTGTGAGTTGCTTGTTGAACCCACTGTAATAGATTTTCTCATATCTAATATGTGAGACACATTCTTCATAAAAATGGGAGAGCTTAATTATCAGGCATTATCAGGTTAACTACTTAACAGGGTGAGAGAAGTTATATAATGTAAAAATGGACCCCTCAAGCAAAATGTTAGGCTAGTTTCTACTTCTTAAATGTGTTCTGATAATTTTTTAAAAATTAGCTGATAACTTGTTTTATGTTATGAAATTATGTTTTATTCAACTACAGTTTAATTGAAACCCTGTTTATTCAAGATTAATCCTGACAAAGACTGGTATTTGTTTTCTAGTTTCAGTATATATGGGTATGTGGAATTCTCACAATTATGTAAACAAAAATATTTTTTCTCTTCCCTTCACTACTGACATTATATCATTCTTGATGAATGTTTTGAAATTTTGTGGAATTTGCATTTTTTTAGCCTGCTGTTTTCAAAGAAACTATTCAAATGCATTTAAATTTCAGGTATATTCTGTTGCCTTAGCAACTTCATGAAGTAATTTAGGCTGTTTTTAAATTATTATTTAAGAAAGGTTATCATGAGTCCAGCTGGTCCTGTAATCTAGTTGTTGAGGGAGCTGGATCTCACATAGATGACTGTAGTTCAGATCCCAGTCTTGGCAGCTTGAAAACATGCTGGGCAGGCATGGGTGCATGCCCCACATCTTGACAGGATAGAGAAATGGAGGAAGAGGGATTGTGGCATGGTTAACAGTGTATTATGGGGTGCTTTCTCCCTCTCTGTATTTTCAGTCTCTCATTTAGGCAAGATTATGCAGCCCTATGACAATTAAAAAAAGAAAGGTTAGTGTCTGGAGAACTGTATTTGGAAAAACAAAACTACATTTGTGAACCACTTTTGATGTATTTTTTTACTTTACCATAGGAAAATAAATAATTACTTGAGATTGTCAGGGATCTTTGATATGTTTTAAGCAAACCACAGAATATAAAATTGAGAAAATAGAATTTTAAAAGTTAATAAGTGCTTTATAACTATGATTGGCTAAAAAAAATTATTTTTAAAGTTTGGTATAGGGTGAGTATGCTTGCTAGAGAAAGAAAGTGAGACGTCACCCCCAAGGGAGGATGACCAAGCCACAATCCCCTCTCCGCCATTCTCCTCTTGGGGTTTTAGACATGCATGTACATGTGGTCAGCATGATTTTCTTTCCTTTTTTAATTTAAGGTTTTTTTTAGTGGGGCGGGGGGCTCAGGGAGTGGTGGTTGAGGCTCTGGAATCCCACATGGCCAACCTCGGTTCTGGTAGACCTTGGCTAGTGCTTTCTTGCTTTTCTTCTCTCTCTCTCTCTCTCTCTCTCCCTCCTTTCCTCCCTCCCTCTGTCTCTCTTCCTCTCCGTTTCTTTCTCTCTCTGATCAAATTGAAAAAAAATAAATAAATAAAATAATTCTTTTCTTAAAAGAATTATTATTTTTTTTTTTCTTGGAGAGGTTTTTGCTATAGGGCACGTGCGCTTTCCAGACAGACACAGAGAGACAGAAAGCGAGAAATAACCCCCCAGGGGGGATAGCCACACCGCAATCCCTTCTCCTCCATTCTCCTCTCAGGATCTTGGGCACGCACGCACATGCGCCGGCGTGAGTTTAAGCCACCGGGTCCAGGACTCGAACCGCGGTCGACTACGTGGGAGTCCAGCGACATAGCCATTACGCTAACTGCTGGTCCCAAGAAAAGAATTATTTTTTTAAAAAAATTTATTTATTATTATTATTTCTCAGAGGTGGGGGTGAGGATTGAGAAAGCAGCCAGGTCCCGGATTTTAACTGTGGTCGGCCAAGGAAGTCCAGCGCCTTAAGCACCACGACACCTGTCGCTGCCTCGCCAAGTGTGATTCGTATCTGGGACTTGAATATGAAGCCAGCCATGTGGGATCCAACTGCCTTAACCACCATTCCACTTGCTGACTCTACATTTTATATTTTAAAGGATTCTATATGTTGTACATAAACTGCCCTGAGTATGTATAATGTCAAGGTACAGTAGCATATTGGGCAAAGTATTGAGTAGTCTAGTATATTTTTCCTATTGACCTGTTAATGTTATTGTTTTCAGAATCTTCAGCTAGATGAGGAAACTCAGTACCAAACTGCTGTTGAAGAGTCTTTTCAAGTAAACATCTGAAAGCTGTAGACATCTCTGCATCTTTGTACCTGCAAGTGCCATCTTTAAGGGGAAAACTACATGAGGTCACCGTTTCAGTAACTTGATGTGTATATTAATAAAAGTAATTCAGTCTATTGTTTGAGTTTTTTAATTGAAAAATAAAGATGAGCCATCTGAAAACTTCATTCTCTTGATAAGTTAAAAAAATGAAAGTTGACATTAACTTTAAAAGCATAAGAAGGATTATATTTCACTAATGGTGAAAGAGAATATTATCTTTTTTTTTTACTATTACAGATTCTTGAATTTTTCATTATTATGTGGCTTCGAAATTTGGTACACTTCCTCCCATTTACTTTTTCATATGCAGGTAACACACAGTAGTAAATTCAGAACATGATTGCTATAAATCTAACCAATCTGAGCCAGTTATCAGAGTTGCAGAATGAAAACTTGAAGTGCTAAATGGAACAATCCAAAGGAAATTTTTGAAAATACAGATTCTAGCTCAAGAATTCCAAGTATCAGAAAATTGTATTTATATAACATTTAGTATTTTTGAAGACTAGCGAGATTTCTTTAATAATTTTAATTCCTTAAAAAGTTGAAGCTTATTATAAGATATTTTCTTTTTATTATTAGAAGGAAATATCAAGAGAAAAATTTATTTCTTTGGTGGGAAGTTGATAATTTCAATCTTATTTGTTTGACTAATCTGTAAGCCTGAAAAATGCTAGACTGGATAACAGTTCTTTGGTCTCAGAATTTTCAATAGCCAATATTTCTGATTAGTTGAAACTTTTATTAGAAACTTTCAGTTGGTGATATTATATTGTACAGATAAATTTAAATGAGAGGTTTGGCTTCATTTAAGTATAGAAGTTCAAAGGTAAAGATGGGTTCGTATCATACACTTTTGTGTGTATGTACATACATATGTATGCATGCAGTTTGTCAGTTTACATACAGATTTTCTATTAAGGATTTTGAAATTGGACCAGCAATAGGGGACTGAAGTGTTTATCTTAATTAAAGTTTTGTATATCACCTAATTTTTAAAAAGTGACGTCCAAATGCTAAATTGTCTAGTTGGCTGCTATTACACCTTAAAAATGGAGTTTACACAAGTACACAATTACCTGTTTATATGGTGCTCATTGTTATTCTCAAAGATAATGGGTGACTGTGATGTAGTGAGACAACTCTACCAGCCACTGTGTTTCACTACTTTTCAGTCAGAACTGGGTTTGTTCTTAGAATTCATTACTGAAAATCATAACATATTTTATAGAAGCCCAAATCACAGAATAAAGAATGAAAAGTGGATTAGTTGACATTCCAAACTAATATACATTGTTTGTGCTTTCTTTAAAATAAATAACTAAAAGAACATAAAGAAAATCTCAGTAGTAGTTTGCTGCTAATATATACTTATATTGAATAAAAAGCTATATTTTGGTTTTGTTAAAACCCTTGTTGACTTTTCTACCATGAACTTTTTTTTAACTTGATTTAATAAAAATGTTAATTTTGGAAGTAGAGTTTTGTAAAAACCTTTTCCAGTCAAGCAGTGATAACTTTATTTATAAATAGTAATAACAATCACAAAAAAAGCCATACATCTTAATGAGCATTTGCCTTTGTTCTGTTATTCTGAAGAGTAATGTTTACTATGTTCTTGAACATTTTCTTAACAGTTATATGACTGTAATCTTAAGGGTAGCTGTATAATGAACTCTTAATTAAGAGACTTTTAACCATAATTTTTTCTAGTTTAAAGCAATAACTTCAGTAGTTTCAAAGTTTAATACATCTCTATGTCAAATTAAACTGTTCTGGGATTTGAGAACTTCTTTAAAGGATTGTAGTAGAGATCATCTAGATGAAATTGTGTTTTGAAGTTTTTCGGATAAGTTAAATATCATTAATAGTTTTGTGTGTCTTATATATATATATATAAACTTTTTCATAAGGAAAATATTGACTTTATTTACTTTCATCTTGAAACTCTTCAGTATGGAAACAATTGTTTAAAATTGTCCCTCTTGTCACTGTAATGGATATAGCATAGATTTTACAAATTAAATTCTTGAAAATTAAATTAATGGAAAAAAGTACTTATTTTTAATACTGCTTATTTGCTGAGTCAGGATAAAGGAGGGAAATTGTATTGATACTCCATACTTAAATTTCACACTACCACTTGGAAAGCTGTTTCTGTCAACAAATTACAGTTTATGTTGTTAAATAAAGAGTCTTATTTAAGATGTATTGCTTTATTTTTCAATTAAAATTGGTTTTCTCCTACTTCTGTGTCTAATTAAAATTTTGTCTAGAGGCAAACACGGTTATATTTAATTCTCATAACTCACCTGAAAGATCTGTAGGAGATATATATAACCTGTTATTTTGCACTTAAAATAACCCATTATTTTGCACTTAAAAAAGTGGGTAGGAGACCACTACCACATGCTGAAGCTATGTGTTCTAGTTAATTTTAAAATCCTATTTTATCTATTTCAAATGTTAATCGTCATATAGCTATTTTATGAGGTGTCCATGCTACGAGATTTTGAAGCCCTGTTAGCAGCCAGGCAGTAAACTAGTTAACTGGTTAATAAAAATTTTTCTTTGGAGAAATCACCCTGTTACAATATTGGGGCTATTAGGGCTGGCAGATGGCGTGGTGGTTCAGGATGCTGGACTCCCACATGGACAACCATGGTTCAAGTCTTGGACCTGGCAGCTTCTTCCTCACTTTCCCTCCCTCTCTCGCTCTGTTCTTTCTGGTCAAATTAAAATAAATAAACTTAAATAAAATGATTATTTTTTAAAAAAAGATATTGGGATTATTAAGAATGTGTTGCCAAATTCAGTGTCATATACCTATTAGGCTGTTTGGTAAATGTTAATTATCTTCAGTGAATCAAAACTATAGAAACCCCTTGTGGAACGGGTAGCATTTTAGTGGATATAGAAAAGGTGTGACCCAGAGAACAAATACATGTAGCATAAAACTCAGAAACAAGTAAAGCACTCATTCCATGATACCACTTAGTGTAATATATATATATTATATATATATATATTCAGTTTTGCTATAGCATGAGTGCTCTCACCAGAGACATACAGAAAGTGAGAAATCACCCCCAAAAGGGGATGGCTATGTGCTGCAATCCTCAATTCGCTCAGGATTTTGGGCATGCATGCATGTGCTCTTGGTGTGATTTTTTTTTTTTTTTTTTTTAGGTGGTTGTTATAGGGCACATGGCAGTCAACAGAGTAGAAAGCGAGAAATCACCCCTCAGGGGGGATGGCCATTCCGCAATCCCTTCTCCATTCTCCTCGGGATCTTGGGCACATGCACACATGTGCCTGGTCTGAGTTTAAGGCACTGGGTCCAGGACTCGAACTGTGGTCGGCTACATGGGAGTTGAGTGACAGCCATTACGCTAACTGCTGGTGCCCTCTTGCTGTGATTTTTGAAGCCACCAGATCCAGGACTTGAATGACACAGTTGGCCATGTGGGATCCAGCTGCCTTAACCCCCATACCACTTGCTGCACTGAGATAAACTTCAAGTTCTATGGCACAGTTTTGAAAAAATGAGGAACAGAGATACTTTTTTTTGGCAGGGGTGGGGAGATTTTTGTTATAGGGCGTGTACTCGCCAGAAAGACAGTGAGAGGGAAAGTGAGAAATTGCCCCTGGGAGTGTTATCACATTGTAGTCCCCTCTCCTCCCTAAGCCCCTCAGGATTTGCGGGCACATGCACATGCTCTTGGTGTGAGTTTCAAGCTGCTGGGTCCAACCATGGTTGGCCATTGGGAGTCTAGTGCTTTAACCACTATGCCACTTGTTGGCCCTGGAACAGAGATAAATTAAGATAAAACAGGATACAGGAACCTCAGGAAGAGGGGGTGTTAGAGCTTTCCCTCCTATCACCCCAACAGTGATCAATCCTGGGACTGAGAGACTCACCATACTCTGCTTTGCCCCTGAAACGAGAACTATAAATGGGTGTGTTCTATTGTGTATTTGACTGACAAACTTGCGTTAAACTCTGATTTTTCTATGTAATAGGAATTTCTGTGTAACAGTGAAATAGTGAAAAACAACTATTACAGAATCTAAGATGAACAGGGCAAGGGAGTGATATGGAAGACATTGATAATCAACCAGTGTAGGACAGAAAGCAAGGGATGTAAGGGAGGAAATTCAATATTCGATCGTTGGAGAAGTCATGACATTTTTGCATAGAAAAACTAAAACACGACATGACTTCAGACGATCCTGTATCTCTAAATGGGCAGTGATGGTGCATGATACTGAAAGTGCACAAAGTAAACAATATCCTGTGTACTCATTAAAAAAAGAATTCAACTCCTTGGGGTCCCCTTGTTCCTGCTTTCCATTACAACTCACTACTATCACTGTGTAAGTTCTAAAACCACAGATGGTTTTGTCTGCACTTGTACTTCATATAAATGGAAGCACATGGTTAAGTATTCTGTATCTGGCTACATTTGCAGAAAATTGTCATGTTATTTTTCTGTTTTTTTTTTTTTCTTCCCTGTAGTTTACAATTACTCATCATAACTTGTCCAGAGTAGAAAATTCTAGTTTTCTTAAGTTATATTTTAATATTGCAAGTGGTTCTTTTGGCTATATTGACACCAAATGGAGGTAAAAAGTGAAAACTGGGTTTGTCCCCCATAACTTTAGAGAGTCTAACCACATGGCTTCCTCTGCTTTTACTTGACTTTTCCATAAGCTCTGTGATGTATTTTTTGCAAGGCATTTGTAGGTATGGGATTTTACTAAGTTGGTATGGACTTTTCTGGAAATAGAGTCTAAAGCTACCAGTAAAAACAGGATTGCCACAGAATACAGAAGATGGGGTAGATATGTCCTGCTATAAAACTGCAAGCATTTCAGATAACCAAGCCTAGTTTCTTTCTATTTATTTTTTTTTTGGAGAGGTTTTCGCTATAGGGCACATGTGCTCGCCAGACAGACAGAGGCATAGAGACAGAAAGCGAGAAATCACCCCACAGGGGGGATGGTCACGCTGCAATCGCTTCTCCATTCTCTTCGGATCTTGGGCGCGCAGGCGCACGCATCCAGCGTGAGTTTTAAGCCACCAGGTCCGGGACGCAAACCGCAGTCAACTACGTGGGAGTCCAGCGACATAGCCATTATGCTAACTGCTGGTTCCCCACCAAGCCTAGTTTCTTGGGCCTAGACAGCTAGATTTTAATGATTCTGTAGGTTGATTCGTGGTATTGGACAAATTTTTAAGCCTTTTGCCTCTGCTTTGTGAAGTTGAATGAGTTAATAAAGTACTTGTTTAT